GCCACCATTCAGCTCCCCCGTGACTGTTTTGCATCATGTAATGTTATTCTCTTTGAAAATGTTGGTAACAGATGAACTATAACACCTTCGTATATTGTTTAACCTAAACAAAATATAAACAGAAGAATAAATCCACGAAATCTTTAATATATATGTCAAATTAATATTCGGATAACCTAGGCCTGTGTAGGCCTGCTATATCCGTGGACCCCAGTTCGAGTCTCCGTCCATTTTTTTCTGTTTATATAATGTATTATTAAGCAGGATTTTCCATTATGTTCTAGGTATGGTGTACAGGATGGTGATGATGGTGATGGTGGTGATGGTGGGGACGGTGATGGCTGGTAGTAGACGCAAGGAGAGATGTCCAGAGACCAGCTTCCGTAGTGATGCTCCAGTGTCAACTGGTATTATTATTATTATTATTATTATTATTATTATTATTATTATTATTATTATTATTATTATTATTATTATTATTATTATTATTATTTGTAGTAGTGTAGTAGTAGCAGTATTACTGTTATTATAATGGATTCACATAGAGTACTCTTTCATAACTAATTCGGTTAGTTTACTAGTCTACAAGTACACTTAAGCTGCCAGTCTGTCTGCCACTTAGACAAAGGCTCGAGCCTCCGCTCCTTGTGCTCACTGACCCATACTAATACATAAACACATTTCCATCTTCGTACTGTAACCTAAGATTATTCACGTCCTAACAGATGGCACTGTGTGGCTCTACGTGTTCCGGCTGCAGGCTTGTATGTGGCACTCCGGGATCGGCACCAGGGCTGGATACTGGGCCTACGCTGCCAATGGTCAGTATGCCATCAGGGATTACTCCGGAGACAGGTGCAATGGACCACTCACCTACTGGTACAAGCTGGGACACACGAACCAAAACCAAGAGTGAAATCAACAACATTGTCAGTGGTAAGTAGAATGTATACCTGGAGAGGATTTCGGAGGTGAACGCCCCCTGGGCCCGGTCTGTGACCAGGCCTCGCCAAGATGCTAAACGATACATGTATATCGGCATCATACTGAGGTACAATAGGGGGCTGTTTATGTTCTGTTAGTTACAATGTAACTAACAGAACACAAGTTGCAATGCATTATTGACTTCCGTTAACAAACCACTTTGTAGGTATCTTTAAAAAGTTAAGTGGACCACAGTTTTGCGTTTCTCTATAGCTAACTCTGTCCCTCCATAATGAAGGAACAAGGAACTCTTGTATTTTTCTTCACTTGGTATCTTTACTATGGAAGTGTTTCACCACACAGTGGCTTCATCAGTCCAATGCAAAAAAGAATGGTGAAAATCAGGTGAAGTTTAAGGTAATCAGTCCCTCCATCAAGATTTATGGACTGAATACATCAACTCCAGGCTGAGGGACTGATTTGCTCAAACTCCTCCTGATTTTCACTATTCTTCTTTGTATTGACTGATGAAGGCACTGTGTGGCGAAACGTTTCCACAACAAAGATCCCCAAGTGTTGCACATGTGTCTAATTTATCATCTCGTCGGTTCGCTGAACCATTTATGTACAATAAGCAAAACTTCCACGTAAAGTATTACGCAGCTAATACGCAAATCGGACATAAACGACATTTTGGTCAGTCTGGGCGAGATGTTGCCCCAACCCTACCCATCCACTGAAGATAGAATGTGTTAGGTAAGAGGACACTCGTGCAACTAATGCGGCATTTTGTTGTGACAACGTTTCGCTCTCCAGGAGCATTGTCAAGCCGTTATAGCTTGAGAGCGAAACGTTGCCACAGTGTTATATTAGTTGGACATGTGTCCTTTCACCTAACATATTGTCGGTAATTCTACCAACATTATCACAAGACGGACCGTGAAAAAGAATACTAGAGTTCCTTGTTCCTTCATCATGGGGCGTTTCTGGTGTTTTATTTTCATTAAAAAGATATCCTGACACGACACATAGGTTATTATACTGGAATATAGAGAAAGACATGTGACCTGTTAAGATACATTAAGCAAATTTCCTAAATTTGCTTGTAACAGATAAGTGAACTGTAGATGTAAGTCCACATCTACTCCTGTTAACCCTTTTGGGGCCTAGTTTCTAGGCCTATTGTGTATCTATATACTTTTGTGCTACCTCACAGGATAGATATAAGATGCACAATAAACTAGCCACTACCATCCACAGGATGGATATGAGGTACACAATAAACTAGCCACTACCATCCACAGGATGGATATGAGGTACACAATAAACTAGCCACTACCATCCACAGGATGGATATGAGGTACACAATAAACTAGCCACTACCATCCACAGGATGGATATGAGGTACACAATAAACTAGCCACTACCATCCACAGGATGGATATGAGGTACACAATAAACTAGCCACTACCATCCACAGGATGGATATGAGGTGCACAATAAACTAGCCACTACCATCCACAGGATGGATATGTACACAATAAACTAGCCACTACCATCCACAGGATGGATATGAGGTACACAATAAACTATCCACTACCATCCACAGGATGGATATGAGGTACACAATAAACTAGCCACTACCATCCACAGGATGGATATGAGGTACACAATAAACTAGCCACTACCATCCACAGGATGGATATGAGGTGCACAATAAACTAGCCACTACCATCCACAGGATGAATATGAGGTACACAATAAACTAGCCACTACCATCCACAGGATGGATATGAGGTGCACAATAACTAGCAACTTTGGTGACAAAATCTAAATGTTACAGGTATGTCGATGACACATAAATATTTATTAACACTACAACCAACGGGATACATATGGTGATACAGTCGGCAAAATCAGTATATAATTATACGAGAAAGTCGCCAAAGTTCTCTGTATAAAATTACCTTCTGTGATGTAAATCGTTCAGAAGACCTTTTATGTTTGCAGATTTGGTGCGGAAATGTTACCCAGGCTACAAACAATGTTGGAAGTTCATGATGTCACACTACAGTATGGGCTACTGGAACTGTAACTACTTCACCCACCACCTAGCTGAGGCCCTGGGGGTGGTCAGTGCTTACCCCAGCTGGCTCTGGAACACCCTCTGGCCTGGCTTCAGCTGCTGACTATCCACTGAATGTGGATAGTCAGTGCTTACCCCAGCTGGCTCTGGAACACCCTCTGGCCTGGCTTCAGCTGCTGACTATCCACTGACTGTGGATAGTCAGTGCTTACCCCAGCTGGCTCTGGAACATCCTCTGGCCTGGCTTCAGCTGCTGACTATCCACTGAATGTGGATAGTCAGCAGCTACTGACTATCCACATTCAGGGAGATCTCTTGGCAGGAAGAGAATTGTTCTCCCTCCCTGCCAACTCTCCCGTGGATTAGTGAGCATGTTGCGAGGTATTATTTACTGGTTCCCAATGACTCTTGTACGCATTGTTACCCCTTAAAAAACATTAAAATTAGTTTTGTTTTCGTAATCCTAAACAAATTTGCCGAGGAAGAAATATAAACTAATTTGAGTAAGCTAATTTCGAATCTGGGATCAAAATCCACCCAACATATAAGGATTATTAGTTTCATAAAAAAAGTTGAAACTCAGATTGGTTAATGGGGTTTAAAACCTATCGACTACACTAACCTTTTCACCACCAGACAAGAACACTATAATCCCTAAAATAGGAATTTTAAAACACAGTATGTTTATTATTAGTGAGGATTAAACAGCATGCACGTACGTCACTTGTGCAATGTCCTTGATTTGTTGAAATCAAGGTCTGAAAAATACATGAGAAGGTAAACCACTGAAAACGAAATTATTCCATCACTACTCATTCAGTGGAGAAATGAACACGAATGCAGTATAATGTGATGCTTTATTGACAACATTTCGCCCACACAGTGGGCTTGATCAAGTCACAGACAGATCTGTTTGCCACCCACCGGGGCTGGCTGCTGCTCAGACCATTGTAACTAACAATCCTGTTGAGCTGGATTAATCCTGACTTCAGATTTGGAATCGACGTGCTGGGGTTAATAAATGATTCATACATTTAATTCAGTGGCAGATAAAAACGTTATTTCTTTGGCCTAATATAATACAGGTGATACAAAATACACAGGTCTGACAGCCCCTTTACTGACCTCTCGTGAGCCTGTCTAGACAGCTGCTACTGAAGAGGTACACTTGTCTTTCAGTGGGTTTGGAAAGGACCCAGTCTAGTATGGGCCAGTAGGCCTGCTGCAGTGCTCCTCCTTATGTTCTTATGCAATAAGATCACAGTAAACAGGTGATACCACAATATGCAGAACAACCATTGAGAAAAATCACGAAAGCCCTTGGAATTTGTCTGTTTTTCCACAGTGGTTGTTTGCATTATGTTCTTATGTAGTGTTCGGTAGAGAGAGAGAGAGAGAGAGAGAGAGAGAGAGAGAGAAGAGAGAGCACCTCGCTGGGTCCTTCAATCAAGGTACCTTGATGCTTGGTGAAGACTTCTTAATTAAGAGTATTTAGGATGTCCTCCTCTTAGAGTGAGTCAGGTTACCTGCTAGACCCCGAGTGCTGTATCACAATACACAAATAACCAGCACACAGGAGAAAGAAACTTATGACGATGCTTCGGCCCGACTTGAACCATTAACTAGTCACACACTAACACACGAAGGTAAGGGAGCCAGTATATATATACGAGGGGAGGCCAGGGACGGGAGAGAGGCAGAAAAATATAAAAAAAAAATAAAAGAAACGAAGTGGAGATAGCAGTGAAAGAGATAGTGAAGGTAGTAGTAGTAGTAGTGTAGTAGTAATAGTAGTAGTAGTGGAGTAGTAGTAGTAGTAGCAGTAGCAGTAGCAGTAGCGCACCTTCATCAAGGGGAACCTGTCTCAACATTCTCAAAATGATCTTCTCACAAAAACATCATCAATAACGCACAATAACACTCTACCACATTCTTAAATAACAGGAATATAACTATCCAAGGCTGAGCAGGAAAAAAATATGTACACAAACTGAATTTTCTTCTTTATTTTGGTTTCTAGATACCATTTAAAGGGTGCAACACTGGTGACATCATAAACAATGCAACACTGGTACATGATAGATATTTAGGTATAACGAATCAATAAAGTTAGCGTGATATATTTCCTCCCTCGATATCTTTACTGATATTACCAAATATCATCAGGACGGAGGGAGTGCGCAGAACATTCTTCATCTTTTCTAGACATCTTTCGTCAGTGGGTTGTAGTACCTGCAGTGAGGAATTGTAAGTTTAGTAATTTTTCTCTGTATAATCAGTGGCTGTTATTGCTTGGTTAGTGAGGTTTGAAGTCCATCAACTACACGTTGTTGTGGGTTAGTTGGGAATTATTCCAGACATGTTGTTGTGGGTTAGTTGGGAATTATTCCAGACATGTTGTTGTGGGTTAGTTGGGAATTATTCCAGACATGTTGTTGTGGGTTAGTTGGGAATTATTCCAGACATGTTGTTGTGGGTTAGTTGGGAATTATTCCATCTACGGTATTGTTAGGTTAGTTGGGAATGATTCCAGCATGTGTTGGTAGGGAATTATCCATGGACAAATTGTTGTGGGTTGTGGGTATAGGACAGTGTGTGGTAGTTGGGATATTCGACATGTTGATGTGGGTTGTTGGGAATTTTCAGAATTTTTGTGGGTTGTTGGAATTATTCCAGACATGTTGTCTGTGGTTATTGGGAATGTTGCAGACATGTTGTTGGGTTAGTTGGGAATTATTCCAGACTGTAGTGGGTATAGTTGGAATATCCATTGATGTGGTTATTGAATATTCCAGAATGCTTTGTGGATTAGTTGCGTAATTATCAGACATGTTGTGTTTAGTGGGAATTATTCCAACATGTTGTTGTGGGTTGTTGGAAATATATTCCAACATGATTATGATGGGTTAGTTGGAATTATTCCAGTGTTGTTGTGGTAGTTGGGATTTATTCCATTAGGTATTGTTATTTATTCGACGGGGATTGGTCCATGTTACATGTAAGCGCTGAGTGACCAATATTGTTCGTGTAGTGGAGTGTGCTTATCGAACATTTGACGAATCAGATGAGCTTTTCCTGTGAATATTTCATTTGCTAACTAAAATACATAAAATCACACTTAATCGAACGTTGCTACAGTTGCATTTTATTGATAATTATGCCAATCTTCACAAGTGGGCTTCATCATAGTCCAAACACTTATAAGTTGCTAAACGTACTTTTTAAAAAACCTGAACCACTTGGTTTGGGTTACAATATCAAGTAGACCAACAAAGCATTCACATATATACATGTATGTTCTAGTGTATATACGTGAGATTGCCTTAATCGTATTTTAGGTACTTAAAGTATTGTTCACCTGGTGAGAGCAGGTTAGTTTTAATGCCCTCGGTCGTGTTCTTTAAAACCCCATTAACCAATCAATAGTCTTATACCCTTTGTAATAGACTTTAAGATCTCATTAACCAGCTAACTAGTCTTTAATGCTCTCTTGTTGCCTTTAAGCCCATCACTAACCATATTAATACCTGTCTTAATGACCTTTGTGTAATAGACAGACTTTAGGAGTCATTAACCAACCAACTAGTCTTAATGACCCTCTTGTAGTAAATAGGCTGTGAACCCCATTAATCAACTAACCAGTATTAATGACCCTCGTGTCATTAATGACCCTCGTGTCATTAAGACACATAAGCAACACTCGGATATCTTTACTGGTGATACGAGGAGCCAACCAGAGTCTCTTTCGGTTAAATAAAGATAATAATTTCTGGCCTGAAAAAAATGACTGCCACTGAAATTATTGGATTAAAAAAAAAGTCATTGGTGGACGAAATGTTTTACCAGTCAAGATACCCAGGTGCTGCCCATGTGTCATGGTCATCAACTTATCGGTGGTATACAATGCCGATAAGATAAACTTTGTTTACTTATCGGTATTGTATACCACTGATGCAAGGGTAACAGTCCTTAGCCCTTATATTGAATTACGGAAATTTGAGAATGTTACCGTGAAGCTTGAGTAGCCAGGGCATCAGCTTTCAGCTTGAGGAAGGCCCAGTCGTCAACGAGGGTGTCAAGGTTAGCGTTGAGCCAGAGGGCGGCGTCCCGGTCCACCTGGGTCTGGTACAGATCGCAGAAGGAGGCACAAGACCCGTCCTCATTGTTGTCCGCGTGAAGCTGCTTGCACGTCTCAGTATAGTCCCGCACTGTGTCTGTTATCTGAGGACAGTGTATGCTCTCTCTCACACCTCAGCTTTCTAAGGTACAGAACCTGTATTCTCTGAGGGTTACTGTGTAAGATGATCTGCTCTTTGAGAATGATTTCTACTCGTATGTAAGAAGTGCTCGCTAAGGAATACTGTCTGGGTCACGAACAAACTCTCTTTGAAGAATAGTCTTTATGGGTTTTCATGTATGGGTGAGGAGGGTTATTTGTGTTATCTCAAGTTCATGTTTGTGTGGTTGTTAATGATTTATTCTGTGTAAGACCTGTTTATGTCTTTATCTATCTCTTGTATTGTATTGTTCTAAATAAAAAAAAAAAAAATAGTCTTTATGTAAGAACTGATCTCTGAGGAATACTTGTTTACGTCAACAGCAACTGATCTCTGGGGAATACTTTCTACGTCATAAGTAACGGTACTGTGACAATATGACTGCAAGTCGATAAAGGAACATTTCATTTATTCATAATTTTTTTTTTCCTGTGTCTGTCTACTTTCTCTCATGAATAAATACTCCATCAGGGGAAGTTGGTCTATTAGAGACACCTGATCTATCGAGGGCGCTCATCTATCAGAGACATAGTGCACGCCCATTCTTATGTTAGAATGATGTATTACCTACCTTGTATAAGTCGTAGCAGGTAAGGCTCGTCCACTGGAAAGCCAGACAGCTACCGTCAGCCTCATCGAAGTAGCACTCGATCTGAGTGTTCCTCCACCTCATCGTCTCCTTTTGCAGCCAGATGCCGTAGTCGATGTAGTGTTGTAGCTGCCTCGAGAGGTCCACCCACCAGCGAGACACCTCGCCCCCTACCTCCGTGTACGAGTCAGCTGCATCCTGGTTGTAAATATATAAATTAGATAAGATAAGATAAGATAAGATTTCGTTCGGATTTTTAACCCCGGAGGGTTAGCCACCCAGGATAACCCAAGAAAGTCAGTGCGTCATCGAGGACTGTCTAACTTATTTCCATTGGGGTCCTTAATCTTGTCCCCCAGGATGCGACCCACACCAGTCGACTAACACCCAGGTACCTATTTGCTGCTAGGTGAACAGGACAACAGGTGTAAGGAAACGTGTCGAAATGTTTCCACCCGCTGGGAATCGAACCCGGGCCCTCCGTGTGTGAAGCGGGAGCTTTAGCCACCAGGCCACCTTTTGGAAACGTTCCGCCACACATTGGCCTCATCAGTTCAATGCAAAGAAGAATGGTGGCGGTGGTGGGGGTCACTCATCAGCAGGTGAATTAGACGCATGTGCATCAGTTGGGTATCTTTACTGTTGAAACGTTTCACCTACACGGTAAGCTTCTTCAGTCAAATACAGAAGCATCAGGTGTAGTAGTGTAATGAAGATGATGTAGTCAGTCCATCAACTTTGGAGATATGAGGTGGTCAGTCCCTCAGCAGCCTGGAGAAGAATTCAGCTCCATGGTCTACAACTACACCTGCTACCTTTGTATTTGACTGTAGGCGAAACGTTTCAGCAACAAAAATACCCAACTGTTGCACATATGTCTGAATCACCAGCTTGTTGGTATTTTATAGTACTTTCAACATGACATTAGTATGCAGTGAAAGAGATGAGGGAAGCAATGGGGTAACGAGGTGACAAGAACGATATATTTAATGAAGTGTGGAAGTGAACGAATAATGTTATTTAACGTTTATCGACGTTTATCTATCCAGTAGCGTCTTACTGACCTCGGGGAAGAGTTTGCACAATAATACTGACACTTTTCTACACAAGAGTATTAACTTATTTCCTGGAGAATACAAATGAACAATACCGTGTCTGGAACAATACACAAATAACCGGTACATAGGAGAGCGAAATTTAGGACCAGATAATGGTCCAAATTAGACCGAAACGTCATCTTAAGATTCATTATCCTATGTTTGTAACTTGCTGTTTCTCGCTTATTTCTGACCTTAAGAATGAGGATGTGGATGCCGGCGATGTCAGCGAAGTCGATGATCATTGACCAAGGCATCTCTGAGGCCTCCACCAGGTAGCGATTAGTGATGATTGAGGTGGTGATGGAGTCAGCCAGTGTGTTCTTGTCTGGGTACGACCCGTCACTCACTGTCTCAGCTCTGGAGTACCTAGCACAGGCAACACCCGGGTCACGGAGAACTCCACTCAGTAGTGTGTCAGTGAATATGCAGAAATGATCACACACTCACACACACACACACACACACACACACACACACACTCGTCCTGTCTCCAGTGCCACGTCCCCGCCGTGCTGCTGGCACTGACCGGGTCATCTCATGGCACACCCGTGTCAGATTATTCTCCCCAAATTAATAAATTACCGACAAAATATCACACAAATACAAGACAATAAATATGCAGGAAAATGTTAAAGAATAACTTAAGAAACGTCAAGAGCATAATTTATTTCCACTGGAGTCCATAGGTTCTCCCATAGGCTGTCTTCCCATAGGCTGTCTTCCCATAGGCTGTCTTCCCATAGGCTGTCTTCCCATAGGCTGTCTTCCCATAGGCTGTTTCCCATAGGCTGTCTTCCCATAGGCTGTCTTCCCATAGGCTGTCTTCCCATAGGCTGTCTTCCCATAGGCTGTCTTCCCATAGGCTGTCTTCCCATAGGCTGTCTTCCCATAGGCTGTCTTCCCATAGGTTGTCTTCCCATAGGCTGTCTTCCCATAGGCTGTCTTCCCATAGGCTGTCTTCCCATAGGCTGTCTTCCCATAGGCTGTCTTCCCATAGGTTGTCTTCCCATAGGCTGTCTCCCCATAGGCTGTCTTCCCATAGGCTGTCTTCCCATAGGCTGTCTTCCCATAGGCTGTCTCCCCATAGGCTGTCTTCCCATAGGCTGTCTTCCCATAGGTTGTCTTCCCATAGGCTGTCTTCCCATAGGCTGTCTTCCCATAGGCTGTCTTCCCATAGGCTGTCTTCCCATAGGCTGTCTTCCCATAGGCTGTCTTCCCATAGGCTGTCTTCCCATAGGCTGTCTTCCCATAGGCTGTTCTCCCCATAGGCTGTCTTCCCATAGGCTGTCTTCCCATAGGCTGTCTTCCCATAGGCTGTCTTCCCATAGGCTGTCTTCCCATAGGCTGTCTTCCCATAGGCTGTCTTCCCATAGGCTGTCTTCCCATAGGCTGTCTTCCCATAGGCTGTCTTCCCATAGGCTGTCTTCCCATAGTCTGTCTCCCCATAGGCTGTCTTCCCATAGGTTGTCTTCCCATAGGCTGTCTTCCCATAGGCTGTCTTCCCATAGTCTGTCTCCCCATAGGCTGTCTTCCCATAGGTTGTCTTCCCATAGGTTGTCTTCCCATAGGCTGTCTTCCCATAGGCTGTCTTCCCATAGGCTGTCTTCCCATAGGCTGTCTTCCCATAGGCTGTCTTCCCATAGTCTGTCTCCCCATAGGCTGTCTTCCCATAGGTTGTCTTCCCATAGGCTGTCTTCCCATAGGTTGTCTCCCCATAGGCTGTCTCCCCATAGTCTGTCTCCGGGTTTAGCGCTTCCCCCTTGATTTTAATAATAATAATCCACATTTCAAAAGAATTTTATTTACATTATTACTGGCTTTACTCTGCTTAAATAAACACGTAAATAAAGGGCACAATAAAGTGTCGGTCAGATTAAAGGTTGACCTTAAGCCACCTCGCCTTTTTTTATTATTTATCGTCCGATTTCGTTCATTTTTGGTCTGCTTTAAGAAGCATTTGCTTACCACATTTTAACGAAGTTTCAATACGATCGTCTAACAAATAAATGAAAAAAATGCTATTGGATTGTCTGGGGATTTTGTTTTTTTCTTTCTCAAGAAATGCAGTGAAATTTTAGCATGTAAATTGCTGGGATATTTTTTTTAGGTTAAAAATAATTTCGAAAGGGAAGTTTTTAGGACGTTTCGGACTTGATAAAAGTTAAGTACGAACCGAAACGTCGTTTTAAAGTTTCCCTTTTTCCAAATTGTGGTTTAGCTGTGAATTATTTAACCTACGATATTTTGAATTTTTTTTCTTCTGTCTTTTAGATAAAGGAAGAAAATAATAATAATAAAAAAGGCTCCCTTTTGATGATTAAGATAAATATGCAACAGTTGGGTATAATTATTGTTGAGGGACTGACTACATCATCTCCATTTCACTACTACACCTGCTGCCTCTGTATTTGACTGAAGAACCCTACTGTGTAGACGAAACGTTCCATCAATAAAGATACCCGACTGTTGTACGTGTGACTTAATCATCAACTTATTATTTTATACCATTTTAAACACAAGATTCCGATTTGTTGACATACTTGTTGAGGAGAGAGACGAGGTCCTGCTTGTAGACTTCCACCTGGTTCATGTTGTGTTCGTTGATGAAGTCTCCGCATACTTGAGCCACGTTGTCCCTCACGTGTTCCCAGTAGTTGTCTTCGGGTTTGGGTTCCCAGGCGTTGATGATGGCTAGTAAGAGCGCTGACACTGTCGGGTACGGCACCAGCCCCGCCAGGAACTTGGCCACCGCAAACCCGACGGTGATCACTGTACCGCCGTCAACATAACCAGGTTAGAATAGCATAATATTGTGCCTGGATAAAATCTAATGGTTATAACCATAGCCGTAATTTTTAGAGGGGTCGATGGGTAAGCCAGTGGAAGGCCTCGGTCAGATAAGATTTTCTTCGGATTTTTAACCCCGGAGGGTTAGTAACCCAGGAAAGTCAGTGCGTCATCGAGGACTGTCTGTCTTATTTCCATTGTGGTCTTCAGTCTTGTCCCCCAGGATGCGACCCACACCAGTCGACTAACACCCAGGTACCTATTTGCTGTTAGGTGAACAGGACAACAGGTGTAAGGAAACACGTCGAAATGTTTCCACCACGTCGGGAACCAAACCCGGGCCCTCCGTGTGTGAAGCGAGAGCTTCAGCCACCGGGGCCATCATGTGACTAAGACCCGCGTCAGGAAACACTTGTCCTGTTTCCTGATACACCTTACCTAACCTACCCCGTGGCTGGAACAATTCACAGTTAATCCCCAAATTAAAATTTTGACTTTTAGCGCTGTGGTAGAACGTTCAGCTCACAACTGAAAAGACCCGGACTCAATCCTACATTTCCAGGGTAATCGAGGATTATTAACCCCCCAGGATTACTAATCCAAAGAAATCTTCGAAAATAAATCCCAGACATCTCCTCGCTCCCAAGACATGATCTGAGGATTTCATGCATCTCTCTCTCTCACTCGCGATTTGATAATGGTCGCAAGCGAGTTGAAATATTTAGTTTTAATCTCCAGTTTATGACTCAAGAAATCGTAATGAAACGATTGCAAACAAACCATACCACAGGCGGGGATAGAACCCGCGGTCATAGAGTCATGTTGACGGCAGTGAGGGGACTTGAGCTAGAGTTCGTCACGGCCACGCTAGCTGGAGATTCGTCTGTAAAAACTTGCATTTGTGGTCACAGTGGTGCCTGTGCTAACCTTCCTATGGTGTAGAAATATACCTAGTTGGATGAATCTTATTGTGGCTAGCTGGTCTAGTGGCTAACGCGACGGGCTGGAGTTTTGAGACTCTCTGACCGCGGGTTCTATCCCGGCCGGGGGTATGGTTTCTCCAGTTTATGGTTTAGTTGTGAATTTCCACAACATCATTATTATTTACAAAGTTATCATTACATTATTATATTTTAACCTGGCAATTACTCTGACTTGTAATTTAACTCAGTAATTCCTCCTTACATTCTCACAATATAGCGAAGTTACTCATAAAATCGTATTAATACGACTGCACACATACCTGTGATTTATTTGTAATCGCGTTGTTACGATTTCGTGAGTCATGATAGCAGCTTTGAAGGGACTTGAGCTAGAGCACGACACAGCCACGCTGATGTGGGATTCGTCCGTAAAAACCTGCATTTCTGGTCACAGTGGTGGCCCATGCTAACCTCCCTATGGTGTATGATAATATACCTAGTTGGATGAATCTTATTAGAGCCACCTGGCCCAGTGGTTAACGCACTCGCCTGTGAGTTTTAGGACTCGCCATGGGTTCAAACTCCACCCGTTCCGTTTACCTGGAGTTTACCTGGAGAGAGTTCCGGGGGTCAACGCCCCCGCGGCCCGGTCTGTGACCAGGCCTCCTGGTGGATCAGAGCCTTATCAACCAGGCTGTTACTGCTGGCTGCACGCAAACCAACGTACGAGCCACAGCTACCCCTCACAACCTTGCAACTGGCGCCACTGGCGCCAAACACTCACGGGTGCCGTCGATGTCAGGTTCATCTGGGAAGGCTGTGACGTAGGCGGTGCTGGGGTTAATGTAAGTGATCAGTAACAAGAACGCCACTGCCACGGCCAGCGCCCACACGCCTTTCATCTCTTCTGTGGGTGGTGTGAGAAGGTAAATGAGATGTGATGATGTGGAGAATTGCAAGCTGAAGCCTCGGAGATGACAGTCGCAGAGCGCAGGCCGGCGACTGTCATCTCCGTGGCTTCAACTTACATTTAGACTCGTGCTAGACTGTATATTGGCCAACACTAAACAACACTTCTGTATATTAGAAGTAATCAAGGTCCCAGGAGCCCAACGTTTTCTAATAAATATGTCTTTAAAAAAACAAACCATACTACGGGTGGGGTTTGAACCCGCGATCAGAGAGTCTCAAAACTCCAGACCGTCGCGGGTTCAAACCCTACCCATGGTATGGTTTATTTGCAATCGTGTCATTACGATTTCGTGAGTAATGTATCCTTGTGTTTACTCACCTTTCTTTCTAAACCAATTTATCGGTATCTATTACCAGGGTTTATGTATCTATCGTGTTCACATACGTAACAATGGGGTTCTATTATATATTTTGACGTTGCTGTAAATTATCGAGATAAATACTTCATAACAACGTATACAAATTCTTCGCATTGTTTCTCAGACCAGTGAAAAATAAAGTGAATGTAAGTGTTACGAAAAAACTTTATACTTAAACTTAAACTTAACTTGGTTGTAAGTTGAAGTGTCGGGCAGTATTACCTTGTTGATAAGTAAGACACTTGTACACCACTCTGGTAACTTCTGCTAACTGTACTCGACTGAAGAAGCCTACTGTGTAGGCGAAACGTTTCGGAATAAAGATACGTAAGTGTTGCACATATGTCTTACTTATCAACCTGTCGGTATTGTATACCACTTTGACATAGCATTACCTTGTGCTTGATGGTATGAGAGAAACAGCGAGGTAGCCTGAGTCTGGCTGTGTTGTGTGGGTGTGTGACGGGTAACTGTGCTAGAGGTGAACACACACTAGAAAAACACGAAGATTGGACTGTGGTGGGGGTAGAGAGGTGCCACCTCTCTTAAGTTATCCCTGAGACCCTCAACACCTGCTGGTACTCACCAACAATGTCAAAAAAATAGTCCAAGGTCTAGAGCATTGTCTGTTTTGGAATACATGTACGAGTTTAAGAAGAGAAGGACTTGCCTTCTTACTTCCACTAGTGGATCGCGTCTCCTGCAGCGTCTTGGAGATCTTCCATCTCACCTTCGACAGTACTTAAGACTCCATTCTCATGCTTCAGCTTCATATTATTCCAGACCATGAAGATGAACTCCTCTCCTGGCTGAGGGACTGACCACCTCAAATACTATTTCTCCAAGGTTGATGGACTGATTACAACTTTATTTTACTACACCTTCTGTCTCTGTATTTGACTGAAGAAGTCTACTGTGTAGGCAAAACATTTCAACACTAAAGATACCCAAATGTTGCTGCACGTGTGTCTTAATCATCAACTTGTCGGTATTTTATACCATTTACAACATAAGAAAGAAGAAAAACTGCAGCAGGCCTACTGGCCCATAGTAGACAAGTCCTTCTCAAACCCAAACCCTGGGAGTGATCATGTCAGAGGATCTCACCTTCAAGGACCATAACATTGTATCAATCGCATCTGCTAGAAAAATGACAGGATGGATAATGAGAACCTTCAAAACTAGGGAGGCCAAGCCTATGATGACACTCTTCAGGTCACTTGTTCTATCTAGGCTGGAATATTGCTGCACACTAACAGCACCTTTCAAGGCAGGTGAAATTGCTGACCTAGAAAATGTACAGAGAACCTTCACGGCGCGCATAACGGAGATAAAACACCTCAATTACTGGGAGCGCTTGAGGTTCCTGAACCTGTATTCCCTGGAACGCAGGCGGGAGAGATACATGATTATATACACCTGGAAAATCCTAGAGGGACTAGTACCGAACTTACACACGAAAATCACTCACTACGAAAGCAAAAGACTTGGCAGACGATGCAACATCCCCCCAATGAAAAGCAGGGGTGTCACTAGCACGTTAAGAGACCATACAATAAGTGTCAGGGGCCCGAGACTGTTCAACTGCCTCCCAGCACACATAAGGGGGATTACCAACAGACCCCTGGCAGTCTTCAAGCTGGCACTGGACAAGCACCTAAAGTCGGTTCCTGACCAGCCGGGCTGTGGCTCGTACGTTGGTTTGCGTGCAGCCAGCAGCAACAGCCTGGTTGATCAGGCTCTGATCCACCAGGAGGCCTGGTCACAGACCGGGCCGCGGGGGCGTTGACCCCCGGAACTCTCTCCAGGTAAACTCCAGGTAAACTAACAAAAATATTTAACCAACCCATTTTCAATGTTACCCGAGGCTTTGATAACCCTATTAACCCATGTGCAAATCCCACTTAAATCCAATCCCTCTCATTCATGTATTTATCTAATTTAAATTTTAAGCTACCCAAGGTTTTAGCTTCAATGCCTCTACTAAGCAGACTGTTCCACTGTTAAGAAACACTGTTATTATACCAGTTTACATTATCATTTGTACACATGCTGGATAAAATATATAGACTCTACGCAGCAATAATCTACGGGAAAATAATTTACTGAGATTATACTCCATATTGTACTGTGTACAACAACTACATTCAATAATTGTAAAAAACGAAATGACTTAATACTCCTTTCTAGGAATGTAACAATGTTCAGTGGGTCTGAGAAAGACCCATTTTGGCCTCTAGGGATATACCGCTCACAGGTTTACCTGGAATTTACCTGGAGAGGGTTTCGAGGGTCAACGCCCCTGCGGCTTGGTCTGAGACCAGGCTCCATGGTGGATCAGGGTCTGATCAACCAGGTTGTTACTACTGGCAGCACTCAAACTGACGTACGAACCACAGCCCGGCTGGTCAGGTACTGACAGGTGATGTAATAATTTTGGTAGAATTACCGACAATATGTTAGGTAAAAGGACACAAGTGCACCTAATATGACATTTTACTGTGGCAACGTTTCGCTCTCTAGAAAACGTTGCCACAATAAAATGCCACAGTAGCACACTTGTGTCCTTGTACCTAACACTCACAGGTGCGTAATAAAGTAGTCTCTCACGCGACCTAACTAATGAGAAGCAGCAGGTGTGTGAGTACATGAACAAGTGTCTTCCCAGGTCCCAGGAGTCCCTCCCTAGTAACTACGGTAGCTCCCTGTGTCTCCCTTGACGCAGTATTATGAAGACAACTTATCAGGGTGAAGGAGGGTGGTGAGACGAGCACACTGTCTTGCCTCAACACTGCTGACTTGTTCCAGGCTCGATCACTTTCCTCCTCCACACTTGGCGCTTCAGTCCTTCCTTGAGCAGTAACCTAAAGGTAAATGTTGAAATATGATTTTCTTCTCTGGTTCCCTAAGAAAAACATTTTATTAATTAATCCAAGATTCGCACTGAAGTCAATTATAACGTCTTAAAGAAAAATGGGAATTCCAATCATATTCACTCTGTAAAGCAATACATAGCTGTTGACCCTCGGCTACAGTTGGTTGTGCAGCTGGTTGTGCAGCTGGTTGTGCAGCTGGTTGTGCAGCTGGTTGAGCAGCTGGTTGTGCAGCTGGTATTTCTACTTTTCAACGTGTACATAATCCCAGTCCTGTGAAGTGAATCGTGACTCTCATCCCTAAATACTGTTGGGAATATACTCATCCCCAGACTCCAACATGCTTGTGTCACGAGCCAGGTGCTGGTATTATAAATTTTACATAATGAAGAGTTAGCCAGGTCATATGGTGTCAAGGACGAGGTCATTTATAACCTCGGAGGGTCAATCAGAAGTCTGAGAACAACACAGCATAAAGGACTCCAGTCACCTTCAAGGACACCAATGGAAATAAGTCACTTTGTCTGACTTTTTTGGGTTATTTTAGACAATTTACACTATGTATGATAATTATACTTATGTGTATCTGTGCCTAGCGAAGTTAACATCAGTGAGCCGCTGTATCTTCATGGCTCTTCATCTATTTCAATTATTCAAGAAGAGCCGCACATATATGGCTCTTGATACTATCATGCAGAATGAGCTGTATGGTCATGGCAAGAGTTTCTATTACTAGAATTACTTCAGTAACATTTTTTAGCACTCTGGCCGTCTCCCACCGACGTAGTGACTCGAAAAATGAAAAAAAAAAACACTTTTACCATCACTCATTCCATCACTTTCTTGCCAGAAAGGTGCCAATACTACAGTTCAAAACTGCAAATATATCCACTCCTCCTTCAGAGTGCAGGCACTGTATTTCCACCTCCAGGACTCAAGTCCGTCTAACCGGTTTCCCTGAATCCTTTCACAAATGTTACCTTGCTCACACTCCAACAGCATGTCAAGTCATAAAAACCACTTACCTCCACTCACTCCTATCTAACATGCTCACACACGTCTGCTGAATGTCCAAGCCCCTCGCGTACAAAACCTCCCTTACCCCCTCCTTCTAACCTTTCCTAGGGTGACCCCCCCCCCATCCAACCTTCCCTTCACTACAGATTTATACACTCTCGTAGTTATCTTATTCTTCTCCATTCTTTTTAAATGTCCGAACCACCTCAACAACCCCTCCTCAGCCCTCTGGATAATGCTTTTAGTAACCCTGCACCTCCTCCTAATTTCCAGATTACGAATTTTCTCCATGATATTAACACCATACATTGCCCTCCGACACAACATCTATACTGCCTTCAGCCTTCTCGCTGCAACATTCACAACCCATGCCACACACCCATACCACCATACTCTCATAGATTTCCCTTTTTGCCTCCATGAATAATGTTCTTTGTCTCCACAGACTCCTCAATGCACCACCCACTTTTTTTCCTTCATCAATTCCATGGTTCACCTCGTCTTTCACAGACCCATCTACTGACAAGTCCACTCCCAAATATCTGAACATATTCACTTTCTCCGTATTTCCTCTTTCCAATCTGATATCCAATCTTTCACTACCAGTTTTTTTTTTCTATCTTCATCACCTTGCTCTTTCCTATATCCACTTTCAATTTCTTACACACCTTACAAACCTTACACACCTCCCAAATCTTACACCTGACAAATCATACACACCTCCCAAATCTTACACCTGACAAATCATACACAAGGTTAGTTCCAGAGCTAAGGGGAATGTCCTATGAAGAAAGATTAAGGGAAATCGGCCTGACGACACTGGAGGACAGGAGGGTCAGGGGAGACATGATAACGACATATAAAATACTGCGTGGAATAGACAAGGTGGACAAAGACAGGATGTTCCAGGGAGGGGACACAGAAACAAGAGGCCACAATTGGAAGTTGAAGACACAAATGAGTCAGAGAGATAGTAGGAAGTATTTCTTCAGTCATAGAGTTGTAAGGCAGTGGAATAGCCTAGAAAATGACGTAGTGGAGGCAGGAACCATACACAGTTTTAAGACGAGGTTTGATAAAGCTCATGGAGCGGGGAGAGAGAGGGCCTAGTAGCAACCGGTGAAGAGGCGGGGCCAGGAGCTAGGACTCGACCCCTGCAACCACAAATAGGTGAGTACAAATAAGTGAGTACACACCTCCCAAATCTTACACCTGACAAATCATACACACCTCCCAAATCTTACACCTGACAAATCTTACACACCTCCCAAATTCGTCCACCAACCTCTACAACTTCTCTTCAGAATCTCCCAAAAGCACAGCGTCATAAGCAAAAAGCAACTGTGACAATTTCCACTTTGTATTAGATTCTATATATTTGAATCCCACACTTCGCCCCAACACCGTAGCATTCATTTTATTTACAATATAAGTGTTCAACTCTCTTTAACTAACTGGACTCAATGTAATACCAGGAGGAGGATGCGTGTGTTACTGTTGTGTGGGCTGATTGTGTTGCTGATGGTGACTCTCACAGCCACAGCACCTCGCACCACCTCAGAAATCATAGATGGAAAGCGTAAGTACGAACAAAATTGATTGCAATTTGTTTTGCAACATTGGTTGCATATCATTTGCAAAGCATTTTGAGCAAACCTAAACTAACAGTAGGCCTACTTAACTCTTGTTAGGTAAATGGACTCTGATGAAATTAATGTTACATTTTACTGTGGCGACGTTTCGCTCTCCAGGAGCTTTGTCAATAGATTTAACGGCTTGACAAAGCTCCTGGAGAGCGAAACGTCGCCACAGTAAAATGTAACATTAGTTGCACTTGTCACCATTTACCCAACATTTTGCAGGAACTTCAACCATTATTACCTCTTAACTCTTAATGTATACATAGTTACGAGGTTGTTATGCTTATGGATTTAATACATCAGTTTGCGTGCGGCCAGCAGTAACAGCCTAGTTGACCAGACCCTGATCCACCACGAGGCCTGGTCTCAGACCGAGCCGCGGGGGCGTTAACCCCCGAAACCTTCTCCAGGTAAACTCCAGGTAAACAAATATAATATATATATATATATATATATATATATATATATATATATATATATATAATATATATATATATATATATATATATATAAATAATGTTTACCTGGAATTTACCTGGAGAGGGTTTCAGGGGTCAAAGCCCCCCGCGGCCAGGTCCGTTACTGCTGGCCGCACGTAAACCGATGTACGAGCCACAGCCCGGCTGATCAGGTACTTTAGGTGCCTGTCCAGCGCCTTCTTGAAGACAGCCAGGGGTCTTGAAGACAGCCAGGGGTCTTGAAGACAGCCAGGGGTCTTGAAGACAGCCAGGGGTCTTGAAGACAGCCAGGGGTCTTGAAGACAGCCAGGGGTCTTGAAGACAGCCAGGGGTCTTGAAGACAGCCAGGGGTCTTGAAAACAGCCAGGGGTCTTGAAGACAGCCAGGGGTCTTGAAGACAGCCAGGGGTCTTGAAGACAGCCAGGGGTCTTGAAGACAGCCAGGGGTCTTGAAGACAGCCAGGGGTCTTGAAGATAGCCAGGGGTCTTGAAGACAGCCAGGGGTCTTGAAGACAGCCAGGGGTCTTGAAGACAGCCAGGGGTCTTGAAGACAGCCAGGGGTCTTGAAGACAGCCAGGGGTCTTGAAGACAGCCAGGGGTCTTGAAGACAGCCAGGGGTCTTGAAGACAGCCAGGGGTCTTGAAGACAGTCAGGGGTCTTGAAGACAGCCAGGGGTCTTGAAGACAGCCAGGGGTCTTGAAGACAGCCAGGGGTCTTGAAGACAGCCAGGGGTCTTGAAGACAGCCAGGGGTCTTGAAGACAGCCAGGGGTCTTGAAGACAGCCAGGGGTCTTGAAGACAGCCAGGGGTCTTGAAGACAGCCAGGGGTCTTGAAGACAGTCAGGGGTCTTGAAGACAGCCAGGGGTCTTGAAGACAGCCAGGGGTCTTGAAGACAGCCAGGGGTCTTGAAGACAGCCAGGGGTCTTGAAGACAGTCAGGGGTCTTGAAGACAGTCAGGGGTCTTGAAGACAGTCAGGGGTCTTGAAGACAGCCAGGGGTCTTGAAGACAGCCAGGGGTCTTGAAGACAGCCAGGGGTCTTGAAGACAGCCAGGGGTCTTGAAGACAGCCAGGGGTCTTGAAGACAGCCAGGGGTCTATTGGTAATTCCCCTTATATATGCTGGGAGGCAGTAGCGCTAAACTTTCAATAATGTTGGTGGAATTACCGACAATAAGTTAGGTAAAAGGACACAAGTGCAACTAATGCGACATTTTATTGTGGCAACGTTTCGCTCTCCAGGATCTTTGTTAAGCGCTGTACCATAGAGGTCAAAGAACTCTTGGGGTGTCAACAGTATACTAAGCAAGTATCAGTGTTGACAGGGAATTAGTAATCAAGATTAATCCAAAGTGGAGAAGAGTTACTTCAATCCCTTCCATCAAGAATCATTCACCAATGTCAGGGTAGCAGTAACAGCCTGGCTGATCTGGCCCTGATCCGCCGGGGAGCCTGGTCAAGGACCAGGCAGTGAGGGCGTTGACCCCCGGAACACTCTTGAGGTAGATAGACTCCAGGCAGGGCAGCCCTTGAAGGGTGCAAGAACTTTATAAATTGGGTAGATATCAAGGAAAATAGCGTAAGTGGTAAGAATAGCGGCTCTCAACACCCAGGTTCGAGAACCAAATCTCCGGCCAGGACGCGCTGAAGTGTCTTGCATTCGACCTGGTGACCGTCTGGTTTCCGGAAGTTGGCCTCACAATGTAGCTTTGAATATTTCACTTAGGACAGGATCCCAGAGGTTAACCTCACAATATAGCTTTGAACCTTCCACTTCGAACGGGATCCCGGAGGGTGACCTCACAATGTAGCGTTGAACCCTCTACTTCGGACAGTAAAGAATCTAAATCTGGCTATTATTATCTCCATGACCAGAAACAACCATTGCTCTAGCCGTTGCCCACTTGTTGATTGGTCTGATCCCCAACGAGACGGTGCAGGGCCTCCTCGTCACGATCATCGACGCCCTCACTCAGGAAGACTTCGACTACTGGGAGGAGGTGAAGGACGATGTCACGGCTCTAGTGGGTCAGTATATCAACGAACACAACATGCACCAGGTCGAAGTCTACCAGAATGATCTGGTCACCCTCATGGACAGGTAAGAATAGAAATCATATGAAAATTCCCTTACATCCCCCTAAATAAAAATAAATGTGTATTTTTTTAATGTGGAAAGTTTCTATACAGAGAGGAAGGGAGTTGAAGTGCTATTCATGAAGTGGTAGAAAGGGAAGGGAGAGAAAAGTTGAGATACCACTGAAGTGTAAGATCCCAGGAAGCAGTGTTATTTCTTGCCTCTGGTGCTATGAGAAACATTTCGAGAAAATAAAGAGTCTGTGCAGGCAACTGTCACTTAAATCATCCTAAAAATTTAAATATTCTAAAGAAATGTATTTCTAACATAAAATAATGTATTAAAAATTAAAAAAAAAAAATAAGTGAAACGAGTCAAAACGTCGTCTATGTAACCTTGCTGAACTTGTCAAAACCGCCATTTATGTCGCTTCGTTCAAGTGAACATCAGATAGTGTTCAACTGGACGAAATATGTAAAGGACCATTTTGCTTCATTGTCACCTTAAACAATTAACATTATATAATTGCCTGGGTGGTTCATTTTAAGTCACTATCCACGGGTTACTGGTGGATACGAAATAAGGTCTGTGAGAATGACAGTCCACCGTCCTAACCACTGGGCCAGCACCACCTCAACAGGACCCTCCACAACCCGCCCTGGGTTGAGATCATCCTGTCTGGGTATGCTGATCTGATGGTTATGTTCACATACTTCATTAGTTACCACAAGCCTCATCATTGGTTACCCTCTCAATGATGACGGATCTTCCTATCTCGTTATGTAGGTGCGAACCAACGAACTCCGACAGGAGAGAGACGTCTCCCTTGTCGGAGTTCGTTGGCTCGAACCTAAAGCCTTAAGAGGTTCTCCCTATCACCTTGATGGACGCCCGGACGTAGGTACAACAACGCACCTGTGTCCAGCGACACCTACCCAGACAAGAACCAGCAGGCAACAGCACTCTCCACCTCCATCGTCACCCACCGGTACCTGATCGAGGCTGCAGAGTTGCCACAGTCCATGATGCTACATTTCGAAGACATTTCCTCTATCCACGTAACCGTTCTCAAGGTATGTTTACCTTCCAGTCTCCAGGTGCTCTATGGCCCCCTGTGGGTTTAGCACTCACTCGTGAGTATAATGATGTGTTTAAGGCAGATTACTCAACGTTAGCTTCTAGGGACTATGTCCCGAAGTGATATGGACGCTAGGCGATGTTTCGCTCAGTCCAGGATCATTAACAAGTTGATAATGGGCCAGGATGGGCCGAAACATAGCAAAAACATTGTTAATCTTCACATATAATAATAATAATAATAATTAATAATAATAATAATATGTATCGCATTTCCCCTTCCATATCTTGTATTTCTTCTTACTCATCCTATTTTTTTCCTTTCATATTATACTTTTCCTATCACCTTTCTCCCCTTCAATATCTTACTCTTCCCTCCTGTATCCTACTATTTTCTTTCCTATCTTACTCTTCTTCTTCCGCCTCATTCATGGTAATCACAATATGGCTGACTGCATGTTGTTAAGGACGTGGCGGAGACGTACTCAGTTGAGGGTCATCCACCGTCGCGTTGGTGGGTCGATCTGGATGAAGAACTCGATCACTACATCGGCTACGGCAGGGGCCTGCAGGTGGACCTCAGGGACTGGCGCCTAGGGATGGTCATCTGCTCCGTGGACGTCGTCGGCGTCTTCAGGCGTTACGACGTGTATACTGTGAGTGCTTCAGGAGTACGCTCTTCGATATTCAGTTTGGGCTATAGTATCACAATTGATTTGGTGGGTATGTGCAAGCCGGGATCAATGGTACTGGTTTTCGGAGCTTCGTGTCGGTTTATTGGGTTCTTGGTGCACAGGCAGTGTGATGCCCAGGCCCGGAGAGCCATGCCCAGGAGAGAGAGAGAGAGACAGAGTAGACTTTGTTGACTGAGAGAGATCGGCTGCCAGAGTGAGACAGGGTAAGTGTGGTGTGGGCTGAGCTGGGTAGGCCTATAGGTGGCAGCACCAGCAAGGCGCGAAATATGAACCCAGATGGGCAACAGTACTTCGAAGAATCTTTGGATGTGTGTGTGTGTGTGTGTGTGTGTGTGTGTGTGTGTGTGTGTGTGTGTGTGTGTGTGTGTGTGTGTGTGTGTGTGTGTGTGTGTGTGTGTATGTGTGTGCTCACTGTATCTTTCTGTGGCCTCAGGCTACGGACCTGGTGACGGGGGAGGTGTCGACATGCCAGCAGCTCCATGGTGCCGACGACTGCAGTGACCACTGTGCACTCTTCAGGCAACACAAGGCTAACGAAGTCCAGGTCTTCATGGCAGCCAAGGTCGATGATGTTTTATCCTCATGGGAGCTGCTCAAGAACATCTCTTCAGTGTATGCTGCAACATCTTCAAGGTGAAAGAGAGAGACATGATCACTATATACAAAATACGATTTTTTATTAATTTTTAATGTGTGTGTGTGTGTGTGTGTGTGTGTGTGTGTGTGTGTGTGTGTACTCACCTAGTTGTGATTGCAGGGGTCGATTCACAGCTCCTGGCCCCGCCTCTTCACTGGCCGCTACTCGGTCACTCTTCCCGCTCCATGAGCTTTATCATACCTCTTCTTAAAGCTATATATGGATCCTGCCTCCACTACATCACTTCCCAGACTGTTCCACTTCCTGACAACTCTGTGGCTGAAGAAATACTTCCTAACATCCCTGTGATTCATCTGAGACTTCAACTGCCAACTGTGACCCTTTGTTGCTGTGTCCCATTTCTGGAACATCCTGTGTCTGTCCACCTTGTCGATTCCTCTCAGTATTTTATATGCCGTTATCATATCCCCCTTATCTCTCCTGTCTTCCAGTGTCGTCAGGTCGATTTCCCTTAACCTCTCCTCGTAGGACATATCCCTCAGCTCCGGGACTAGTCTTGTTCAAAACTTTTGCACTTTTTCTAGTTTCCTTACATGCTTCGCTAGGTGTGGGTTCCAAACTGGCGCTTCATACTCCAATATGGGGCTAACGTACACAGTGTACATAAGAACATAAGAAAGATGGAACACTGCAACAGGCCTACAGACCCATGCAGAGCAGGTCCATGTCCCCCCCTCCCGGATTAGCCCAATGACCCACCCAGTCTGGTCACCTCCACTCAAGGAAGGAGCACGGCACCAGACCCAACAGCACAAGCTAGTCCATTCAAACTCACACCCACCCACACCCACTCATGTATTTATCTAACCTATTTTTGAAACAACACAACGTTTTAGCCTCAATAACTGTACTCGGGAGTTTGTTCCACTCATCCACAACTCTATTACCAAACCAGTGCTTTCCTATATCCTTCCTGAATCTGAATTTTTCCACTTGTTCTTAGGTTTGCTAGACGGCCGTATGCTGTAGCAGTTATTTGGTTGATGTGCGCCTTGAGTGAGGTTTGTAGTCTCTGGCCCCCTAATGTGTATGTGTGTGTGTGTATGTGTGTGTGTGTGTGTGTGTGTGTGTGTGTGTGTGTGTGTGTGTGTGTGTGTGTGTGTGTGTGTGTGTGTGTGTGTGTGAGTGTGCAATACAGTCGCAAATAGGCGATCTTAACAATGCAGAACAAGCCACAAGGGGATGGAAATCTTTAGCTCACGATCTTTCACACTCGTGCGTCATCAGGAGCTATGCAGTGTTACAAGACAGCAACAGATAGGAGGGGAAATTCTCTGAGGCAAGGCAGAAGGTATCACTGGCTACCCGTGACACAGACATGGGTCACCATTGATACCTTGATAAACACCTTACTTACTAAGTACATTTATTCACAGGTTCTACGATCCAGTCCGAGAGCGTTAACGTTCATCAATGACTTCGGTTGATGTCAGTCCAGGTGACACAGTGATGTTACCAGTACCAGCGTCACTGACGATCGTGTTACTGGAAGGTTGACAACATCGTCTCCAGATGTGTATAAATGGTGTACTTTAAATAAACGTAAAAACATTTGTTAATTTATAACCTAGAAAAACTAGTGGTAATGGGCAGAATTCTGCACACGCCATAGTGATACCTGGAGAGGGTTTCAGGGGGTCAATGCCCCCGCTGCTCGGTCTGTGACCAGGCCTCGGAGTGTGGGGTGACTACCACCCACGACATGGGTGTGGGGTGACTACCACCCACAACATGGGTGTGGGGTGATCACCACCCACAACATGGGTGTGGGGTGACCACCACCCACAACATGGGTTGGGGTGACCACCACCCACAACATGGGTGTGGGGTGACCACCCACAACATGGGTGTGGGGTGACCACCACCCACAACATGGGTGTGGGGTGACCAGTAAAGGATCAAACACCTATTGTTCTCACAGCTACAAGCATTGTGTAACACCCTCGCCATCTCTCAGTGTATGTGCACTGAGATGTACATCTCTCAGTGTACGTGCACTGAGATGTACATCTCTCAGTGTACGTGCACTGAGATGTACATCTCTCAGTGTACGTGCACTGAGATGTACATCTCTCAGTGTACGTGCACTGAGATGTACATCTCTCAGTGTACGTGCACTGAGATGTACATCTCTCAGTGTACGTGCACTGAGATGTACATCTCTCAGTGTTTATACCTGGACTGATACATACTCTCAACGTATATAAACCGAGACATCTCTTAGAGCATCATGAAAGATATATACCTCTCGGTATATATATATATATATATAATATATATATATTATATATATATATATATATATATATATATATACTATGAGAAACACCTCTTGGTGTATATACCTTGTAAGACAAGCATCTCACAAGGTATATACTGTGAGATATTATAACCATGACCACGGGAAAACGCTAAACACGTAGCGGGTCAATTAGAACCAGTGGGGAACGGGAGACAGACTTGATCCGAGGAAGCGAAGAGTAGCTCTAATTCCTTGAATCAAGAATCCTTCATCAGTGTCAAGGCAGCGTCCTACAAGAGTCATCAAGGTTGCTCTACACCTGTATACATTCAAAAATAGCTTTAATCTCTAAAATATAAATCAATGTAAACTCTTAGTTTATATACATTGATATACACCTTTCAGTGTATATACCTTATCAGAAGCACTATGAATTCTTTATAATATATAAACTATATCGTAGATAGTTAGCAAACTCGCATGACTACATATAACGTTACATAACAGGTGATATATACATCGAGAGATGTATATCTCTTAGTGTATATACACTGGAAGTTTACCCTGATCCCTAATTTAAAGATTAAAGTATTCTCAGATGGCGGGTAAGAGGTTAAAGGTAGCCTTATTGACCCTCTTAAGTGGTTGATAGTCTTAGTACACTTGACCTAGCAGACTGGAGCAGACTGACCCGGTCATCGGTCAAGTGTATACAACCTCTCATACACTCGACCCTCATGAGTTTACTCAAGGTAAGACTAAGGTCATGGTTTGTAAAGTTGCTGTGGGAAAAAATAATGGTAGTCAGTAGGAGAGAACAACTTATTTAAATGTGTTTGAGTTCCAGTTGGTTCCAATTATGAAGTTAGGATACACTCGAACGATGGTTCATGGTTCATGGTTTATGGTTCATGGTTCATGCTTCATGGTTCATGGTTCATGGTTCATGGTTCATGGTTCATGGTTTATGGTTCATGGTTCATGGTTCATGGTTCATGGTTCATGGTTCATGGCTCATGGTTCATGGTTCATGGTTCATGGTTCATGGCTCATGGCTCATGGTTCATGGTTCATGGTTCATGGTTCATGGTTCATGGTTCATGGTTCATTCTTCTGTGTATTCACTGACTCGTTATACCACCACTGAATTTAGCAAAAGTGAATGTATTTCCCTGAATAAATGAGTTTATACAGTGATTGATGTATGGTACAGTGCACCCGTATTATCAGGACAAGTTTTTTTAATTAGTGTACCTGTTGAAGAAAGCCACTTGTGCAATATATGGTAATCTATGTTGAGGAAACGTTTCGCTGTCAGTCAGTGGCTTCTTCAGTCCAATACCGAGAATAGCTGTGAAAGATGAGAAGGTAAATGAGATAATCAGTCCCTCAGACTAGAGTCGTTGTGTTCTGTCCATTAGTCTTGAGAAAAGTACAGCACATTCTCGGAGAAGTTGCTTATATATGTGGGGGCTGCAGGCCACCATCAGCAACAGCCTGGTTGACCAGGCAAGCACCAGACGAGCCTGGCCCAAGGCCGGGCACCAGGAGTAGAAAAACTCGCGGGACTCATCAAAGGTATATACTGCAGTCAGGGAAGTAGAAGCAGTAGGTGGCGGAGTCACCATTGGACAAATCCACTAGTGTAAATAGGTCATGACTGTAGGTTAGGAAAGCATTAGGATACTTCCAGTAGGTACTGGAACAGCTTGTGGGATCACTAGTTAAGGCGGACATTCAATCCAGACGGTCACCCATCCAATTACTTGCCTCATGAAACTGCAACTTTCGGCATGTATAAATGAAAGGAATTTTTTTTTCAGGGTGAGGTGAAGGAATGTGAGAGGGAGAGTGAAGCCAGGGTGTGGTATCCACCTCCCGACACATTGGGAAGGTCCTACCTGCTCTCACTACCTAATTACTCCCTGGACACCTGGCAGGAACTCTGTATTGATCCCCGTGATCCCACAACCTTCCCAGAGTATAAAACTGGGGAGTATGGCGTCCCAGAAGCTCAGAGAAATCCTTTAAATCCGCAGATACAAGTGCAGGCTGGGTCAAGTGGCTTTCACGACTCTGGAAATCTTCCACAATCCTCTCTAGAAGCGCATCTAGTAGCAACTCAACCCCAACCCTCAAGTTATATACAAATGCCTCTAAACTATATACAGCCTCAGATAACTTCACATTCGGGCATAATACAACTAGAAAGCTTCAGAAATACTGAGGTAAGCAGTGTTCAGCACCCGAGGCTCCTCAGACTGGGTCTCCCACACACGCTGCTGGATCTTCCTCACAACGAGCAACCACAAGAACTTGGAGTGACTGAGTCACATCTCGGAGCACACGACCTGCCTGCCTCTGATCTAAATACACACCTCCGGGTAAGTTATTAAAATATCCGTGCAATTTATTAATTCCATAAGGTTTCAACTTGTTTATAAAAACACTTATATGCAGTTAAGGATATGTAATAAAGGAAACTTCTCGCTACGGGTTAGTTGTGCTGTCTGAGCGGCTAAGGTGCCAGATCAATCAGGTTGTGATGGATATGCGGGGCTGCGGGCCACCAACAGCAACAGCCTGGTTGACCAGGCAAGCACCAAACGAGCTTGACCCATGGCCGGGCTCCGGGAATACAAAAACTCTCGAAACTCATCCAAAGTATAAAGGTAAGTTTAGTGTACATCCCCAGGATCATCCTGCGAGCGGTAACTAAAAAAAAAAAAAAAGAATTACAGTCACAATGGGCATAACAGCATCTCAAAAAATATATATTACAGTCCCAGGTGGCTTCTTCAGTTCAATGACTTTTTGCTTACTGTCATTATCCACATCTCGATAATACCAGTATACCTGGAGACCTCCAAGTCTCCAGGTATAATACAAATGTACCATATACTGCCTCTAATGTTTACACTTCAGGGAGACACCTTGATGCCGGTGAAGGTATCAAGGTGTCTCCCTGAGGTGTTTTCCTCTTCACCAGCCCTTGAAGAGAGTACTTTGATGCTGGTGGAATGTTCTTCGTCCAGGGAAGTGGAGAGTGCCATCTACTTTCTATGATTATATCTGAGTACCTCCCTTTTCAAGGCTGGAGGTCAGGGTTAAGGGTCAGTCTGAGTTATACCAAGTGATCTTGTATTGACCTGGTCAGTCATACAGGTGTTGATATATTGACCTGGTCAGTCAAGCAGGTGTTGATGTATTGACCTGGTCAGTCATACAGGTGTTGATATATTGACCTGGTCAGTCAAGCAGGTGTTGATGTATTGACCTGGTCAGTCAAGCAGGTGTTGATGTATTGACCTGGTCAGTCAAGCAGGTGTTGATGTATTGACCTGGTCAGTCATACAGGTGTTCTTGTATTGGCCTGATTATTCATATAAGTGTTTCCATACAGGTTAGTCTTCTAGACCTGATCACTTCAGTGTTCCCTCACAGGTCGGTCTTCTTGACCTGGTCTATGACAAACCCAACAACAGGACACCACACCACCTTCTTCGTTGGTTCGGAACCATATACACGTGAGTACTAGTAGTATCAGCAGTATAATGACTGTTGCAGGACGAAGCGAGGGTGGTCATAAGGTTCCTGTAGCTAGGTGCTGGTTTCAGGTGAATTATTCCAGCTACAGGGGCGCCACGAGTACGCTAAGAGACAACACAGTAAGTATCAGGGACCAAAGACTGCTAACCCTTAAACTGTCCAAACAAATTTACGTTCACATGCGTAGTGCTCCAAAAGTAGATCTACGTTTGGACAGTTTAAGGGTTAAAACTGCCTCCCAGCATACATAAGGGGAATTACCAATAGACCCCTGGCAGTCTTCAAGACGGAGCTGGACAGGTACCTAAAATTAGCAAGCCTGGTTACAGACCGGGCCGCGGGGGCGTTGACCCCTGAAACCCTCTCCAGGTATAACTGTGGTGGTTTAGAACTTAGTTTGGTTATAATAATACAATTGCGGTATTTTGACTTATGGTTTATTATTCAATCACAATAGACCCTCATATTTAAGGCATTATCTCTCAGTCACCATAGACCCTTATATAGGAGGGCCCCACTTATATAGGAGGGCCCCACTTATATAGGAGGGCCCCACTTATATAGGAGGGCCCCACTTATATAGGAGGGCCCCACTTATATAGGAGGGCCCCACTTATATAGGAGGGCCCCACTTATATAGGAGGGCCCCACTTACAGGAGGGCCCCACTTATATAGGAGGGCCCCACTTATACAGGAGGGCCCCACTTATACAGGAGGGCCCCACTTATACAGGAGGGCCCCACTTATATAGGAGGGCCCCACTTATATAGGAGGGCCCCACTTATACAGCAGGTTAGGGTCCAGCCTACTGCTGTAAAGCAAAAATCGCTGTATAGTGAAACATAGCCTTTCTTTCACTTTCAAATGCATATAAAATCCCGATAACATATTTACACTATCACATATATAAATAAAAAAAAGATCTAGGCCTAAAAAATGCATATACAGTACACACATTACTTACCTTAAAATATTTTCGTTCTTAGCTTATAGTGAGTGTTGAATATACTTATTGTAGGAAGTCTGAATATATGAAGAATGGTTATAATTAAAAACTGCTGTATTAGCGAAACGCCGTAAAGTGAAGTGCTGTTGAGTGCTCAACCACCCAGGGAAATATCCACCATAACCCCTCATACCTATGGCACTATCCCTCAACTACCATGGTCCTTCAGAGAGCCATGGTGCTATCCCACAACCATTGACTCCTAAATTAATTCCTATTTATAGTTTAAGTGCTTGTATTTCCGCTGTATATAGATTTGAGAGCCGAGTTTATCTAGTTTCTAGCTAACATTTTAGATCTTAGCTCCCATTTTCTACTAGTAAGCTCCCATTTTCTACTAGTAAGCTCCCATTTTCTACTAGTAAGCTCCAATTTTCTGCTAGTAAGCTCCCATTTTCTACTAGTAAGCTCCCATTTTCTGCTAGTATGCTCCCATTTTCTACTAGTAAGCTCCCATTTTCTGCTAGTATGCTCCCATTTTCTGCTAGTATGCTCCCATTTTCTACTAGTAAGCTCCCATTTTCTGCTAGTAAGCTCCCATTTTCTACTAGTAAGCTCCCATTTTCTGCTAGTATGCTCCCATTTTCTACTAGTAAGCTCCCATTTTCTGCTAGTATGCTCCCATTTTCTGCTAGTATGCTCCCATTTTCTACTAGTAAGCTCCCATTTTCTGCTAGTATGCTCCCATTTTCTACTAGTAAGCTCCCATTTTCTGCTAGTATGCTCCCATTTTCTACTAGTAAGCTCCAATTTTCTACTAGTAAACTTCCATTTTCTACTAGTAAGCTCCCATTTTCTGCTAGTATGCTCCCATTTTCTACTAATAAGCTCCCATTTTCTGCTAGTATGCTCCCATTTTCTACTAGTAAGCTCCCATTTACTACTAGTAAGCTCCCATTTTATGCTAGTATGCTCCCATTTTCTACTAGTAAGCTCCCATTTTCTGCTAGTATGCTCCCATTTTCTGCTAGTATGCTCCCATTTTCTACTAGTAAGCTCCCATTTTCTGCTGGTATGCTCCCATTTTCTACTAGTAAGCTCCCATTTTATGCTAATATGCTCCCATTTTCTACTAGTAAGCTCCCATTTTCTGCTAGTATGCTCCCATTTTCTGCTAGTATGCTCCCATTTTCTACTAGTAAGCTCCCATTTTCTGCTGGTATGCTCCCATTTTCTACTAGTAAGCTCCCATTTTCTGCTAGTATGCTCCCATTTTCTACAAGTAAGCTCCCATTTTCTACTAGTAAGCTCCCATTTTCTGCTAGTAAGCTCCCATTTTCTACTAGTAAGCTCCCATTTTCTACTAGTAAGCTCCCATTTTCTGCTAGTAAGCTCCCATTTTCTACTAGTAAGTTCCTATTTTCTACTAGTAGCTCCCATTTTCTGCTAGTATGCTCCCATTTTCTACTAGTAAGCTCCCATTTTCTGCTAGTATGCTCCCATTTTCTACTAGTAAGCTCCCATTTTCTACTAGTAAGCTCCCATTTTCTACTAGTAAGCTCCCATTTTCTACTAGTAAGCTCCCATTTTCTACTAG